TGAAATCAAAACTATTAGAAATATTAACAACCTCAGATATGCATATGATACCACTCTAATGGCAGAAAACAAAGAGGAACTAAAGAGTTTTTGATGAGGCTGAAAGAGCAGAGTGAAAAGCTGGCTTGAAACTCAGCACTCAAAAAACTGAGACCATGGCATCCGATCCCATCACTTCATAGCAAATAGAAGGGGAAAAACAGAAGCGGTGTAAGGTTTAATTTTCTTGGGCTCCAAAAACACTGCCAATGGCGACTGCGGCCATGAACCTGAAAGACACGTTCTCCTTGGAAAGAAAGTTATGACCAACCTAAATAGCATATTAAAAAGCAGAGACATCGCTTTGCCAACAAAGGTCCATCTAGTCAAGGCTGTGGTTTTCCCAGCAGTCATGTACAGATGTGAGCATTGAACCATAAAGACTGGGCACTGAAGAACCAATGCTTTTGAACTGTAATTCTGGAAAAAACTCTGAAGAGCCCCTTGAGCTGCAAGGAGATCAAACCAGTCAATGCTAAAGGAAATCAACCCTGAATATTCATATCTGAAAGTAAAGCTCCAATACTGTGGCCACCTGATGCAAGAGTGAATTCACTGGAAAAGATCCTGATGCTGGGAAAGACTGAAGGCAAAAGGAGAAGAGGGTGGCAGAGGAGGAGACGGTCATATAGCATCACTGACTCATGGACATGAATTTGAGCAAACTCCAGGAGACAGTAAAGAACAGGGCAGTCTGGTATGCTACAGTCCATAGGGTCACAGAGGGTCGGACACAACTTAGCAACTGAACAACAAAAACAATAGGGTTTTTCATTTACCAAGCGTTGTTCCAAATGTACGTATTACTTCATTTAATCTTCACAACAGCCTTGTCAAGGAGAAATACTTTTTCATTGTCCCCATACAAGAGATGAGAGTACTGAGGCACAAAGAGGTTAAAGAACTTAGCCAAGATTACAGAACTCAAGCAATCTTGAGCCAGAGTCCATGCTCTTAATTCAGAAGCGTTTCGGCTTATATTATATAAAAAGCTAAAGGGCTCACTTAAAATGCAGACAAAAAATTTATATAAAACTATGTTCATTGTGGCATTATTTATAATGAAGAAAAAACTGGAAACAACCTAAATGTCCAACAGTAGGAAAATGGTTAAATAAACCACAGTAAAGTTACTCACTTACAATGAAATATTATCTTGCCATTAAAAAGATTTATGAAAAATTTTTCATGACTTGGAACAATGTTCCCAGTATAATGCTGAGTGGGGGAGCAATAAACAGTAGACAAAATTGTATATATTATTTCTAACCACATAAAAAGTTCAGACACAAACTGGAAGGACATATTCTCAAATAAGAAACAATGGTTATTTCCAGGTGGTAGAATTAGGGGTGTTTGTGTTTTTCTTTTAGTGTTTTCCACAATGAACATGCATTACCCTACCAACAGTTTAAATAAAGGCAATTTCTATCTTTTAATCAAGCTACAAGAAAATCCTCAAGCAGATGGTATGAACAGCTAAAAAGCTACTAATCTGTCTGAACTTCAAGTAGTTACTTTCCTTGGGATAACACCCTTTGAACACCAAACAACCACAGTTAGCACATACCAAAAAGAATCCTCACCTTCAACAAGAGAAACTGAATTAAAATATGAGTATTTTCAATTTTGGCCAATATCCATTCTCCAATTATTTATAGGATTGTTTTATAAGAAGAGGAATGGATTTAACTATTCAGTGGCCAAAAATCCAGGAATGGATTTGCTGAAATGTAATAAGGGACAAAAGTCTGACTAGGGAAGAAGAACAGCTGTTGCTAATCCAACTATTTACCCTTTGACCCTCTATCTGGCCAATAACTGAACAGTATCAATTGTTTTCCTGTATTATGTGCTGTTTACAATCCCTGAGAGGCATGAAAGGAATTAATAATTTAACCTAGAAAGCTGACAGCCTTTATTGGGGAGCCCCTTGTCTGTGGGACAGAAATCAGAGCAAGTAGCTGTCCTGAAGTCATAGGTCCCTTTACTGTTCCTGTTTTATAGCCTAATTGGCCTCCAAACATAAATCAATTATTTCTCCTGTTTTAAGCAACAATGACTTCTATTCTCTAACTTCCCTTGTATCAAGTCAGTCGTTGTTCTCTTGAGTTTTACAACTACACAGTAAACACGATGGCTGAGAAAAAAACTCGGGGAGCAGGGCAGACTGGGGTTATTTGGAAACAGAAGCAGAGAAAGGTTATGCTGTTTTGAACTTCTCTTGACCTTTGACTGCCCTTGTCCCTAGCTTATGCTAATAGGCAGGGTACAGAGATGCTTCTTGTAGAAATGAACTTAGCCTGAACCTGTGCCGTAACATTGGACTCCAGGAAGCCCAGGAATCATAGGAAGGCGGCCAGAGTGTGAACAGCTGCCCATATTCTAAGCATGGCTACCCATCTGCTCTACCACTGAAAAGGGAGGCAGGGGGTAGGCCACATGAGTTGGACAAAATTGGGTCTTTCCTCATCCAGGTCCAATACATACCACATATCCCAAACTTGCTGTCTACAACCACTGACAAGCAAAATGGGAAATCAGCAACAATGGTATTTCTTGGTTCAAAATAAGCAAGAATGAGCAGGACTTCCTTATCAGGAATTTGAGGAGTAAGGGAGACACTGAGGCCTCAAAATCCCAAAGATTCATCACAAAGAAAACCCTACTGTCCTCCATCTAATGTGCAAAAGTCATGAGGTATTAACATAGGAGACTTTACTCCTTCCCAATCAGAAGCCATAGAATTGTAATATCAACAACCATAACCAACTTAAAACACGTGTATAGCCCATTTCAGTCTTGAGGTTTCCTATTATTCCGCAGGACTGAGAATACTCATTTGAACCCCAAGATTGATTCAGACAGGATGATAAACTTCCGATTCTGCCTACTCATTATTATGTCAGATCTTTATGTATTTCAAAGAGACAGACCAAAAACACTAGCAACTTCACAAAAATAACATGGGGACTATTGAAAATATTGGCCACATAAGCTAAGTACAATTTTTAAAAGAAAAATGATGTTTTTAGGTAAATCTCATTCCATACTGACATATATTAATAGAATTATGATTCAGTATCTGTTCATTCTCATGGTATGGAGAGATCTATAAAGCACAATATCTAGACAGGGATTCTATGCAGAAATGTTAAATGAGTTAGAATTACTTGGGCCAGCAGGAAGAAAAATCCAAAAATAATCTTCGTAAGAATATCAAGTACCTTTCCTAGAAGATGGGCATGAATATTTTTAATTGCTACTAAATGAAGAAAAAGAATAAATTTGGGTCCCATATGCTTTAAAAAGTGTATTTTTAAATAATTTCAGACTAGGAAAGGTTTTCTGATAGACTGTTAACAAATGAGAGTGGGACTTAAGATTTATTTATTTTTGTATCCCTGGAGCCTAGAACTGGGCCTGAGCAGAAAACATTCAATATTAAATTGAGTTCTCAATTAATCTGGCTTGTTTTATGTGTAGTTCTATCTGAAAGATCACAAGGCATGTCAGTATCCTTCTTAGCGTTAAAAAATTCTTCTAAGTGGGGCTTCCCTGGTGGTCCAGTGGCTGGGAGTCTGCCGGCCAGTGCAGGGGACACAGGTTCACTCCCTGGTCCAGGAAGATCTCACGCTCCACAGAGCAACTAGGCCCAGTGCCACAACTGCTGAGCCTGAGGGTTACAACTACTGAAGACTGCATACCTAGAGCCTATGCTCTGCAACAAAAGAAGCCACTGCAATGAGAAGCCCATTTATTCCAACTAGAGAGGAGACCATTTGCCGCAACTAGAGAAAGTCCATGGGCCGCGAGGAAGACCCAGAGCAGCCAAAAATGACAAATTCTAAAAAGTGCTTCTAAGAAAGGCCCATGACTCAAGAATTTACCTTTTCCTCCTCCTAAGTGACAACTGTTCATAAAAGAACGACAAAGTGAAAATAGTTTCACTCATAGGTACTGGGATGTGAGGTAGGAAGGTGGGGTAAACCGAACCTATAATATCCTACAAAGTTGATTCTGGTATTACCTACAAAGCTGATGCAGAACTTTATGACTTCCAGAAAGAAAAACCTATTTCCTTAATGTATGATAATCATTAGGAGACTTACTTTTGTTCTGCAATTAGTAATTATTAGTTGAACAAACATGAATTTTATACTATTAAGGTGTGTGAGGAAAATATGAGAAGGTCCACAGCTGTTAGTCAGGATGGTGAGAAGGTGAACTTTATTGCTTACCTCAACAACAGAATGGTAACAAATAACCAGCCCCATAACCCTAAAAAAATACAAGAACTAGAAAAAATAACTCTAGATCATTTCACAGAGTCTCAATCTAAAGTATCATTTGACCTTTTAGTGTTATGGCAAAATAATATGTGTTTACACTGAATATTCCCATGTCCATATCCCAGAAGGTGTTTGTGACATTATGAGAGCACTATAAACACAGATGAAAAGAATCATTTAATTAAGACTTTGAAATGGTCATTCTCATACCTTAAACTTAAGAATGTAGATGAGGATGCTTAGAAATTAAACTGTGGTATGAAGTTTATCATCTACAAATATCTAAACCTTTACCTAATCCTTCTTTGAAAGAAATGTCAAAATTAGTCAATACTTTTAAAACATGGTTCTGGGTATACGCTTGTATGTGTACATAAGTGAAAGCACAATTTTTGTCAGTGGTAGCTTCATGGAATGATGGAAAACAAGACTAGCTTTAAATAGAAATTTTCAGCAAAAAATTTTCTATTAAATGGCTAGAGTCTGACCACCAAAAAATATGAGAAGAAAAATAAAATATAACTAGAAAAGAGAATGTCTTCCCCATAATCATAAAGTGAAATAAAATCTGTGAATAGGCCTATAAATGACACCTTAAGTTATACATTTAAAAGTACACACACATATACTTTTCTTACCCATTAACACTGGGGAACATTTAGAACTTACTAGTGCTTGAGTCGAGCTCTGCCAATTCGTCCTGACAAAAGCCTGAAGAGAAAAATATAGGAAAAAAAGATTATAATTCATGAATTACTCCAAGGTGCCTCCAAATATGCAAAGTATCATACAGTGAAAAAAAAAATCTAGACTCGTAAGTCAAATTTGGATTTGAATCCTAGCTCTATAACATTTAGCTACTGCAGATCCTTCTTTGAGCCTCCATTTCATCATTTTTATATAAAAAAATGGAGATGGAAACAGCACTTCTCACTGAGCAGTAATGAGGATTAAGTGAGATAATGATATAAAATGCTTATTGAGCAGAGTCTCTGGCACAGAGGAGCTCAATAAACAACAGCATAAGTACCTATGAGTAAGCATGCCAAAGTTAATTATAATAAAACATGTGCAATATGTATACATATGTAATACATATAATGAAAAGGAAAGCCGCTCCATCGTGTCCAACTCTTTGTAACCCCATGGACTATACAGCCCATGGAATTCTCCAGGGCCAGAATACTGTGGGTAGCCTCTCTCTTCTGCAGGGGATCTACCCAATCCAGGGATCGAACCCAGGTCTCACGCACTGCAGGCGGACTCTTAACCAACTGAGCCACCAGGGAAGCCCAAGAATACTGGAGTGGGGAGCCTGTCCCTTTTCCAGGGGATCTGCCCAACCCAGGAATTGAACTGGGGGCTCCTGATTGCAGGTGGATTCTTTATCAGCTGAGCTATCATATTTCATAGTAAATTTACAATGCATTTAATATTTGTCATGTTCTACTTATGTTATCAATTATTTTCCAAAAGAGAGCAAAATATATGAACTTATAAAAACAAAAAATTATGAACTTATAAAACATCAAACAGGGTAATTTTATTTAAAATTTTCATAACTGCCAAAGAATTTTACCTATACACACAAACAGAAGCAATTCTTCCATTAATAAGTATGCTATTCAGGTTGGAATAAACAGCCCTCAAAGCACATTTCAGGCCCCAAAACTCTAAGCTACATCTTTCCGATTGGTGTATAACTATCACACTGAAGAGAAAAATCAAGCACAGTGAGTGGCAAATAGACAACAGGGGTTCTATACACAGTTAATCAAAATTCTATTCTCCTGGAATGACTGCTTACTCTCTCCAGTTTGCTTTTGACCCATCCTCAGTTTAAATATTTCCTCAGAAAAGCTTTTTCTTACCTCCTTTACCCTTGTCTCATACAAAAGGTCAAAACTCCCTGTAATAACTATCTACAATGCTTTGTGCACTCATCAACAAGGAATTACTTGTTCAATGTCTGATGCCACTATGAAGCTGTTCCACTAATAATGTTCCACCAACCCAGGGGAAGGAACCTGGCCTGTCTTGTTTACAGCTGCATCCCCATTATCTCTCACAAGCCTAGTACAAAGCAGCTCTTCAATAAATATCAACTGTGTGTCTCAATGGTAAACTCAAAAATAATGGTGCAAAACTAGGACTAGATGGTTACAAGAGTATTTTGTGTCATCAGAGTCAGGCAACCAGAAGCCAAAAGAGCAACTGGGAGTCACGTGGAGAAGGGTTCAAATAGCAGACTGTTTAAACATCACTTTCAAAGTCCTTGCAATTCTGAACATTCACCAAACAAACCACATTCCTTGTCTTCCTGTGCTTCCTCCTCCTTCACTTGGTAAAGAACTACTCATCATCCTTCAATGAAGCACGGAAAACAGGAGACACTTCTCCTGTGCTCACAACTTAAATAACTGCCTCCTTCACTAGATAGTGAGTTCTTCAAGCGTAGTGACAATGCCTCATCCATCCACAGAGCTGTTTCTATGCCCACAACAGTTGCCGCTGATACAGTATGTAAGGTGTTCAAATGTAGGATGAACAAAACAGAAAACACTACCCTGTCTCTAGATCAAGGGAAGAAAGTCACAGGATCAGAAAATCGAAGTCTGGCCTGAAAAGTGTACGGAATGTCTGAGTGAGGAAATCTGATCTGGAAAACCAGGGTTTGGAAGGTGCTAAAGTGACTGATATGCCTAAAAAGGATCACCTTAGAGTGACTTTAAATCTTCTCTGTATAAATGCCTGGAGATCAGAAAAGCTGTATGGAGATGCCAGGCAATAAGGAAATCACTCATCATTACACATGGGTCCAATATTGAACATTCTGCCAGAAATGAAACTGAGGAATAAGCATACACTTAACATAAACTGACTCAAAAATAGGACAAAAACATGGGAAGGTAGAATAGTATAATAGGCAAGTTATAGTTCAAAAGCCACTTTTGGTTTAGTCATATGACATAGGTAAGTAATTACTTATATTCTGGACCCCAGATTCTGTACATTAAGTGAAAGAACTACACTGGGCTTCAAGAAAAGACAAAGTCTAACAACATTTTCTGAAAACAACATTTGGAACTCAAAATAACTAGATCAAACACAATAAAGAGGGAGTGACTAAAAAAACAAAGACAGTACTAAGAAAAACAGTTAAAGTGAGCATCTATTGCTTTTACCTGCCTAGCAATCACTCCCCCTTCTGTTAAGGGCATTCTGATTTTCCTTTAGAGACTTAGCCCTTTACACTTTCAGCTGATATGACCCAAGTAGGATTGACCCTAGCCCTGCTACAAACTGAAATTAACAGCACTTACCTGATAGGTCTGTTAAAAGGATTAAATGAGACCGTGCATGTAAAGACTTTACACAGTACTTGACAAAGTCAAAGCTCAATATTATGTGTTACTACTAACTAACCAACCCCAAGGGTCCAAGAAATCTCATGCTATATCTATGGCACCAAAGAGCAGATTATAGGAGAGTTAACTATTAATTCACTCATGACATCATCCTCAAAGACCTGGAATGGAATCCCCTAACATTACTAACATAGTTTAGTTACTTGCTGTGATTCTTGAAACTTTTTTATATTTTGTGCCTGTAAACTGTTTGAAACAATAATCCCAGATGTAGTATGTTACTCCCTGAGGAAAAGAAGAACTCTTTATATCTGCCTTAAAACAAATTCCTCCAGTGGTCACAAAGATCCCTGATTATGAAATTCAGTAACCATGTCTATATATTCCCTCTATCCAGCCCTGAGACCAGTGGCTAATAATGTTGTCTCTGGCTTTACAGATCATCACTAATGCAGGAGGTCTGAGGAGATATAGAGAACAATGTTAATCCTACCTCCTGACAACCAGTCAATGGAATGGCTAGATCTGGCTACCATTCTCATTCGCTCTTACCCAGATTCTCAGAAACCAGATCTGGCTAGCAAAAGGGTTTCTAGCTACAAGAACCCAAACCAGTGCTAGAAGTAAACCCTCTATGTATTGAATTCAATTCAACACAAAGGCAAAGAAAGGATGTCAGAATTGTTCAGTAAAAAGCAGACTCCTAAGCTACCTAAAAATACAAAAATAACCCCCAAACCTCCTGCCTCACAGAATATAACACATTAAACAGATTAGGGAAATGTTCTGAGAAATCTAGAGCCTTTGGCTGGTGGCTTAAATTGCTTTAAAAAGGCAGAGTCAAGAAACACAGATTGGGGGCTTCCCTGGTAGTCCAGTGGTTAAGAATCTGCCTTGCAACACAAGGGACACCAGTTCGATCCCTGGTCTTGGAAGATCCCACATGCCAAGAGGCAACTAAGCCTCCTGTCCGTAGGGTTTTCCAGGCAAGAATACTGGAGTGGACTGACATTTCTTTCTCCAGGGGATCTTCCTGACCCAGGGATCGAACGAACCTGTGTCTCTTGCACTGGCAGGCAGATGCTTTACCACTGAGCCACCAGTGAAGCCCATATATTCCGTTACCACAGTTCAGCTTAGAAGCAGAGAGAAAAAGAGCATGGGTCTGAGTTGGAGTCAAATCCCAGATCTGCCATTGTTTTCAATTAACTACCCAATAGCTAATTCCTGAAATGGGGATAAAAATAACTCAATTATTGTGAGTCTCATGGTGCAATAGAGGCTTGGATCTTGGTCAGGATCCTGCCAGTCAACAAAATTTGGTAAGTATATATAAATAAATAAACTACTTTATGGCAAGAGCTGCAAGTCAGGTATTTTCTTTAATACAAAGGAAGAATACAATTCTTTAATACAATTTCTAACTCCAAGTCTAGGAATTTTCTTTAAAACAAAGGAAAATCCAGTTCACAAGCTTTTCTCCAACAGGAGAGAATTTGGCAAAAAGAAGTGACTCCTCAATCTATGATTAGCTACCGTAACAAATTTTTTAAATATTGATTTTTTTTCTTTATTTATATTTTTGGCTATAAAGTTACACATTTACCATAAAATGATCTTAATAAACTATTTTTTTTTCCCCAAATGTGAACAAACAAAAGCTTGTGGGTAATGCCAGTTAACAAATTCAAGCCCAAACATCAGCTAACTATAATCTAGTGTCTTTTACAAAAGCAAGTTAAATATTACTCTAGGAATGTTTCATTTTGACTAGAGGAAGGCAGCATGGTGCAACAGACTTGAATCTTGGTGAGGATTCTATCTACTTTGAAGCCCACAGGCAAAATTAAGGTGAGGCCCTTAAAAATGCAAAATTCTGTAATTCTAATCAAACATCTCACCTTTCCCCAAAACAGAAACCATATACTAATGTCAGATTAAATGTTTTAATTAAATATAAAATATATCATTATTTCTCCTAGTCAACTGCAATTCAAGTTTCATATACTTTAAAATGTGAGTGAGACATGAAGTGAAGCAGAGCTTCCAGAAGTCAAGGATCTAAAAGGATTTTTAAACTCTTCTGCATAATTAGGTTCCCTACCCCGTGATCTCAGTGCCCTCTGCTTTCCACACCAAATTATGATCATGACTACTGACCATGAAAATTCAGGTTTTAGAAAATATTGTTTTCCAGTCTCCCCATGAAAAAAGCTAAAAATCTCTACCCTAGATTTGTACTGATACACAAGAGCCATTCTGCTCCTTTCTGGACCAACATTTAGTCATTTATATCAGTTTCCCATCTGTTTTGTACCCCACCTCCAATCATGATTAGGTTCC